CCTTCCTTCCTTCCTTCCTTCCTTCCTTCCTTCTGCCCGTGATGAGGGAGCACCTGCCAAGTGGAGGGCTTGCCCTCTCAGTGCCCTTCCAAGTGCAGGGCTCCAGCTACGCTCTGAGGTGACATTTGCTTCCCTCATGCTTCCTGGACCTGGGAAGGAGGCACAGAAGCAGTCAGAGGGCCAGGAGAACTTGATCCCAGTTCTGACACTTCCAGGTAAGTGTCAGAACTTCTCCCCTTAAGTCACCTATAGGGTACGAGGATTGGACTCAATGGCCCAGAACCTTTCCCATCTAGGACATTCCCTAAATCTGGCTGCCCCTCTCCATGTGTGGTGTTGGGGGGCTCCGGGACAGTGCAGGATGTGGGCCTCACTCCTGGGAGGTTTACAAGGTAAGTGTTCTCTGCCATCAGCATGGGGCGGGGTGTTCCTAACCTAACAGGGAGAAACCCTTTTTGAAGCTGACAGCATCAGCTTACTGCCCATTTGCTCTCAGCAACCTGACCACCCAGGTTCTGAGCACCACACCTCAGAGCTCTGAGCAAATACGCAGCCTCCCCATATCCCAAGCAACGTGGGGACCCTTGCGCTGCACCCATTGGGAAATCTCTTGGGTGCTTTTCTGCTCTGCCCAAGGAATCAATCTAGGTCATTTTATAAATGGAGAAGCAGAGTATCATGGGATGAATGCTTGAGTCCTTCCAAAATTCATATATTTAAATTGGTTTCTCTCTCTTTTTTTTGGTACTGGGAATCAAACTCAGGACCTTGCTCTTGCTGGGCAAGGCACTGTGCTGCTCAGCTATATCCCTGGCCTGTATATTTAAATTTAATATGTGATGTGTGAGGAAGAGGGCTCTGGCCGAGGGTATAGCTCAGTGGTACAAGGACCAGCCTGGCAAAGCTCAAGGTCCTGAGTTCGATTCCCAGTACCCACCAAAAACAAAAAACAAAAAAAGGAAGTGGGCTCTTTGGAAGGTAATTAGAATTAGATGAGGCAGTGAGGCTGGAGCCCTCCTGGACGGAATTAGTGTCCTTGGAGATTCTGCCTCTCTCTGCCATGCGAAGGCACCATCTATGAACAGGAAATGGGCTCTTACCAAATACCAAATTTACTGGGTGTTTGACTTTGGACTTCCCAACCTCCAGAACTGTGAGATGTAAATGTTATTTAAGGCACCCAGTCTATGGTACCCTGAGACTCAGAGGTTCAGAGAGGAGTGCGGAATGTCCTCCTGGCCCCAATCTCATGGTTCTTTTCACTGTGACTTGAGCTCACTTCCCAGCCTCTAATTGGTTCTTCCCTGGAAATCACACCCCAGTGGACATGATGTACCATTGCTTGTTGACTCAGCCAGTTTATTCTGAGTCTGTTTCCTGGGAGCCAGGATTTTGAAATTGAGACACATAGCCATGGGGAGTGACCAGAGGGCTGTGGAGAGGAGGGTCGCAAGCTCCTGTGGCTGCAGTCCCTACAGATGCCCTGGGTCTTTTCTTTCTTGGAGCTGCCCCGACATAGTCACTTTCTTGGCTCAGACTCCCAGGTCGTTTCTGTTCTTCCTTAAGAACCTCAAGCAATATATGTTGAAAGAAAGACAGTGAGTGAGATCACATGTGAGGACACTGCTTCCGGTTGTGAAGCAGGGCTGTAACAGGCAGCAGGACCCTTCATCCTTCTTGCTTATTCAAACTCCAGACAATGCCTGTATTTGTTCTGCTGGGTCAGAAATAAGCTGTGGGTGGAAGTTGGGCCAGTGAATTTCTTTCCTGAGGAACGTGGACTTGGGACAAGGAGCCTTCAGCTCCAGCTGGGTCTGTCCACCTTAGACATACAGGCTTTGGAACATGTATGATATCTGTTGTCTGTTATGTGACTACAACATAGAGAGCTAGTTGGGAGCGGGAGCGAGAGGAAACGTGAAAGCCATTATACCAAGAGGAAAAGAGAAGAGAGAACTCCCTGCCCCGCTGCAGCCCCCCTCCCCAGCTCCAGGCTATCTCTGAGGCCCTTGGGCTCTGTGAGACACTCGAGCCTCCTTACGCTGGATCCCACGTCTGTTCACTGACCCCCTCCCTGTGGTTTTTCTGTGGCCCCCATCACAGGGAGTTGTAGCTCACAGGCTATGGCTGCTTGACTGGAGGAGGAGACTGAGAGGGGTGGGGTGGTGGTAGTCCCACTGCAGGTGGGATCTTGGTGGAGAAATATGCATTGGCTAAGTGGAGGAGGAGCAGAACATTGCAGGTAGTGGCACAGCATACTGAAAGTCAAGGGATCTTAAAGAGCTTAATCTACTCCCAGGGAAGATTTGGGTACTGCTGGGTCCCTATGAAGGGTGTTGCAATCTCAAAACCAAGGAGAGCTTTTATAACCTTGCAAAACAAGAGTACTGCTGATAATCTTGACAGTTATCATCGCTGTGCATGCACATCATGAGTAATGGTGCAAACTGTCATTTCCATTTTGCAGTTGGAGAAATTGGGACCTGACGGGGTCCCACACTTAGGATTCAGACCTGAGTTTGCTAACTCTAATGCATACACTTCTGAAAGCACCCCACCTCACTATGTAGTAGGAAGGAGAGATTCTGTGTGGAGAAATTGAAGCACAGCGTAAGTTGCTTACAGTGATGCAGTGTCAGATCTAGAGACTGAGCTTAAGATTTTCAGATCTGACCTGAGACTTCAATACTTTATCTTGGGAAGTCTTTCCTGTGATGGCTTGGACTCTGTCCTTTGCATCCGAGTTTAGAAGGGGACTGGAAACCACAGGTCCCAGGTGCATGCCAAAAAAGGGTTTTTTTATGGAGAGCCACAGTCAGTGACTCAGCTCCCAAAT